CAAATAATATAGACTAACTCACAAATTATGTCTATTGTTGTTAATTTAGTATGTAAATTCGATAAGATATAATCTATTTCACTTGTTAAATGTCTATATTATCAAATTAAAAAAAAATTCTTAAATTATTTTTTAAATGAAATGTCGTTATGAAACTTAGTACTTTAAAATGCATTTTTTATTCTTAATATTCTTATGATTGAGTCTTTCAATATTCAGCACATTTAACACTCCAAATTATGCCTTATTAGTCAAAATTGAGATTTTCGACCTCGAGTTTAAATATTGGCGAAACATCTTGGCTGCTTCAAAGAAGTATTGATTTAAAATGTGTGATATTTTATACCATTGCTGACTCTGAGCGAAATTGTTTTTCACTTTAAAAGTGAAAAATTTTTTACTTTTCACCAGATTTTTGACTAAACATTATGTATTTTTTAATGTAACTTGTTTTTTGCGTAAGATATTTTCGTTCCTGGGTGAGCAGTAATATACAATGAATGCTGTAACAACTTACTTGCTGTAACTAGAGGAAACTGTATAAGATTTGGTAAAATTTTAAAACTTGAGGTACTTAAAACGATTATATTAAGATTTCATTAGACACACTGATAAAAAGGGCAACTTAGATAAGAGTTTTTAAAATGCTACCCTTATAACTATTAATTCGTTGAGTTTTCTTCAATAAACGACATTAAATAGTTTGATTTTATAATAAAAATGTTGAATTGGATTAAAAGCTGTAGTTAAGGCAGGCCATTCTCTTAGTATCCATTTGATTCAGGTATTCATTAGGTACTCAGTGATAATACTGATAGTTCTTTTATAATCCTATTTTATTTGACTTTGCATTGGGAAGATTTTTTTTCTCATTTTCCGTACCTCCTTGCCTTGAGTTTCTAAGACATAAAGACAAGGTGTAGAGAGGTTTTGTTTCTTCAACAAAATTTCTTTCCATTTTTTTAAAATAGTTCTTGCAATTATATCTCTGCAAGATATTCTACATATATTGTGTGACAAACTTGAAAGTGGGTTGAAATAATCTAAATCCTTCGCCACAAAGGAAACTTTGCGTAAGAAGGATTTCCAGACGAAATGCGTAACTAGAACCATATTTCTTCGATGACTTTTATAATGGTAGCCCGTTTTTGTCAATCAGTGTGTTCCTTATTCCCATATATTTTTTATTTCATTGAACATTTCCCAACAATAATTGATTTTATAAAATATTTACTCGAAGGCAGAAAAAGTTTTTTAAGTTTTTATAAAATGTGCAATTGATTTTATTATGTAAAAATTAGATGTGGAATTTTGCATGGGTTTTTATAGATTTACCTCTTAAGGAAAGAAAAATAGTTCGGGATTAAAGAATCTTCTAAATAAAAACAATCTGAAAGAACATTTCAATTCGGATTTCAAAATATGTCTTGTATTAACTAAAAATTCAGATCAATTACAAAAAATGGAAATAGAACTGACCCAAGATCTGTACTTGACACATCTTTTCCAGTACTCCGACCATTTATATCGAATATTTTACCATGTATTTAAATGTATATCGATGCATACAGCTAAAATATATCTTTTAATTATGTTTAATCTTCATCAAGTGGTGACTTATGCATCATTCCAGTCAAAGACTTTAAATTTTCACTTTTTTAAAGATAATATTCAGTGAGTGTTGTAAAAGTTGTTATATTTTTTATTGCTTTTGTAATAATTAACGTAGCTATTTGTTTTTCAATTTAAATTTTATGTTAAGCGGTTTGGGTTTTTAATTTAAGTCTAAAATGTAAAGAAAAATTTTATTTGATGTCAGAATAAATAGTTTTTATTATACATGTTTTTTATTAATGGTTTTATTGTGAACAGAGATTTAGTGCTGATCGATAATTTGTATTTGTATTCTACCATCTAACGCATTTCGGTAAGGATCAATTAATGAGCGTCACCTAGCTCACTGTACTTGTTTCAGGTTGACTTTATATTAATTTAAAGTAATAGAACACGTTTGTGAACACGTTTAGTAAAAAGTGTAACTTCTATTCCCCACACAGCTGTCATCTGCCTCCATGATGATAGATCATATAAAATGACACGTGAAGTGTCATATATATTTATGTAACATCTCCCCTTTCTTTCTATTGACAATATCAGAATTTGAAAAATACTAATAACTAATACTACTACCACAGAATAATAACTTTGAAGAACGTACTCCAACTTTTACTTTGGAAAAATACACGTGTAAATGATTTATATTAAACGTTTTATACCTTAGTGATCAAATGACAAAATGATTTGTTTTCCCGAAGTTATCGTCCACCTTTGAAATCTTCAGCGCTCCCTGTCGGAATTGGCTATCGCGAATACAAGCGAATACAAGCACCAACCAGAAAGCCGGAGTTATGCTGACTACAGTCAATCAATATGATATCATCTTCAAAGCTATTTAGAACCAATCAGATCAGGTGAAATGACACAAAGGCAAGCCGCAGATATTTTTAAAATACCACGAAGCATTATCAAAAACAAATTAAAAATCTGTTTTCGAGCTTACAGGGTCATCTCAAAGTTTTTCCTCAGGAAGAAGAGTTAGCATTTGCTAGTCACTTCGACAAAATGTTTGAATTCGGATGCCTAATTGCGTAACAGGATTTGAGATATATTATAAAAAGTTATGTCACAAGACAATACGGTGTTTTTGCAATAATTTTGCCTGGTCGTGACTGGACCAAATCTTCCTTAAAAAGACATTCCCAGTTAACAGTCAGGTTTGTATCAAATATAAAAAGAAATCGTGCTCAAATTAATAGAAAAATTGACACAAGACTACTTCTATCCCTACTATTAGACTATTTCGACCACTTAAAACAAGTAGTTGATAATGTAATGTAACGCCTTAGAATATCTCTAACTACGACGAAACATCCATGTCTGACGATCCAGGTAGGAAAAAAGTAATACGTCGAAGAGGTTCAAAGTACACAGAGTGTATCTTGAATTCGACTAAGTCCAACATTACCGTTATGTTTTGTGGTAATTCCAATGGTAACTCTGTACCACCTTATATTATTTATAAGTCTGAACATTTGTGGACCGCATGGTTGGGAGGTGGCTCTGAAGGAGCGCATTATAACAGGACGAAACAAGGTTGGATCGACGGAGCAACAATTGACGATTGGTTTGCTACACATCTTTTTCCCATCTTAAAAAACAAGAAGGTAAAAAAAGTAGTTATCGGTGATAATCTTAGCTCACACGCAAGTTTAAAAGTGGTCAGGTTACGAAGAGAATAATATCCCATTCATATGCATGCCTCCAAACTCCTTGTTTCTAACACAACTACTTAATGTGGCCAATTTTAGGCCTTTCTAAAGTAAATGGCCACATATTCTTACCGAATCTGTGGCACCTACATTTGACAGTGACAATACTGTTGCCACATTACCAAAAGATATTTTTCCAAGATTGTTGACAAAAACTTTGGATAACTTGGAGCTTCATCGAAAGAAAACTTGGTCTGGTTTTAAAAATGCCGATATACATCCCTTCGACAAAAAAGAAGTTTTGAAACGCTTGCCTTCCAACAACGTGACAGTTAATTTTGAATTGGTAGGACATTTATCCGCCATTTGGATTAGAAAAGGCAAGAAATTGTTAAACCCCGATTAATGAAACGAAAAAAAAATCGATGTTCCTGCTGATAAAAGCATAATAGCTAACGATATTATTCAGTATCAAGATGAATATTTTTTTTTTATTTGAGAATGATTTCAGAACGTCAAAAAAGTAAACTTATTTTAAACTTAACATGTGGCGTATTCCCAATAAAAATAATAATTGATGCCACAACAAAATAGCTTCAGATACTAGTATTACTCAAAATTCTAGATAATTATTAAGATACTAGTATGACTCAACATTCCCAATTTCTCAGTAGTCTAGCACTTGATGATTTAGATGTACTTTTCCAACAACTAGATAATTTTCCACATTAATTGTCAAACCGCAAGTCTTATACCTACTATAATATCTCAAATAATCTTCAGCTAATATCTGGTCGTCAGAAAGGTGCAAGTGAGAGGTTTGTCATCATCTATAGATATTCCAATGTTATAATAGGTTCACGCACCTTCATCGTCGTAGTGCTAAATTTAAATAAATTTTTAATAAGTTGGATCTTTTGCGCAAACTTATCTTATTCCTTTAGTATAATTGGAAATTGTTTGGAAGCTTTTACTGACCTTGACACTATCTATTATATTCGTATATATACAGTTATATAGGTATCTCACCTGTCTCCTTTATAACTAGAGAACTATTTAAGTTTAATTTGATTTTACGGCTCTTACAATATCATGATACTATGAATCCAAAGATAAACCGACGCGCACGCGACAGTCTATCTCTTTTGCACGTGTGACGTCACTTGGCGACAACTATCACCAGAAATGTTCTGTTTTACATGGAGTTTTGTCAGATTTAGTATTGTTTTATCGTTTATCTAGTATTATTATTTTATTATCTAAATTAAAGATAAACTTTTATCACCAAGTGACGTCATGCGCATCAACGTACTAATTCGATTGCAAAGTAGTTTTATCTTGGAAGTCATAGTATCATGTTACAATTATAGAGCTATTATATAGTAATATATTGCCCCTGTCGTGTAGTACATTAACTGTTTTTCTATAGTGTATGATAAATTTTCATTTAGTCTTACCACTTTATCCAATTTTATCCATTAAAATCGTTGTGATTCTTTCAATTTCATATATTCTTTGATTTTGATTCTTTTTATTGTACTTTTATCTAGTCATGCCTATTTTTCTTCAACATCATTCTTTTTTGGCCAATAATTACTTTCATCAAAGTTGAATCCAGAATAAGATCTTAATGATACCTTCATTGGTCATTCCAGATAATGGTCTTAACGCGAAAGACAGGCTTTAGAAATATAGAGACTAGTTTGGAGAAAATAAAAAATCAAAAACTAATTCAAAACTATTTATTATGTTTTATACATTTAAAGCTATCTCATTGATTTATTCCAGCTCACAGACTTCTTTTCTGTCATTTCCTTTCTTGTTAAAGGTGATAGATGGGCTGCAGCTACGTAATCTCTACAAAAAATTAATATTTGGAGTTTAAAATTTGGAATATATAAATTTTACCAAAATTAATGCTTGTAATTTAGAAATTTAGGTGAAGAGAAGAGACCTAAGGACCCCTTTGGATAATATCCAATGTATCGTCTATCCTGGACAAGAGATACTACCTTTCTTTGTTACCGCGTTGAGCTGGCGGTGATCGATACAAAAACACAAGGAACCATATTCTGTTTTCTTTACCTGGACTAGTAATCCATGGACTATTTGATGGATAATGCCTTGTGTTCTCATATCTCCAATAATTTCTTCAATTTCGTCTCATTTTGCGAATCAAAGTTTGCTCAGGTGTTATCTAATTGACTGAGTATCTCAGATATTTATTTATCCGAGCATATTTATAATATGCTTATGTACCCTTATTCTTTTCATCCGTGGTAAAAACATTTTGAAAGTTTGCGCCACTAGACCCTTTAACTTTTGTGTGTTCATTATCAATATCTTGGTATGTATTAATGACCATATCAATAAACTCTTTCGGATACTTTGACTTCGAAGAGTTGTCAACCAATGTCGCAGAACAAATCAAAACCACAGGAACACTTTGTCGTACTAAAGTTGTACTCGAAATGTCAGAGTCATCAACTTCAAGTTGATGACTCTGACAAGAACAATGTCTCGAACTCCTATATGAGTTTTTTCATTAAAAACTTTTTATCATTCATATCTTCGACCATCCTTACATTTCCTTTTATCAACAGTATCTATCCCAAATTCGTTCACTAGAGAAAACTCTTTACTGCAGACCTAGATAACTCCATTCTCAATATCTAATACATCCCCAAGTTTTTTCAAAAGCTCCATCACCAATATAAAATTGTTGGAAATTTTACCAATTAACATTTTGTGGTTTATTGTTGTCTTGTCTGGCCAATACAAACTGCGAGGCATAAGGTAGCGATATAGATAAATATTAAATAAATAGTTATACAACTATATAAGTCGTTATGGCACTTATCTTCATCAACAATTATTAAAACTATTGTGTTGATTTTTTGAATCAACCAAATAGATAATTCAGTTAAATTTATAAGTTGTTTACAGTTTATTACCGCATGAAACAAAGCCCAAAAATCAGTGAAAAAATCGAAAAATTACTGGCTGCTATTCTTTATCTGGAATATCTGGTGATTCTGTGTCTGGGGGAAATCAATAGAAAGGCCGTGTTATCTCATGGTTATCGAAACTTTTACTGCGCAAAAAAAAGGACTTTTTTATTCATTTTATTATTGTGTAAAAAAACTCCGCATTCTAGATAAAAAGGTACAAAAGGCGACTTTCTTGAAAATACTTTCTCTTTAAAATGAGATTTTCTAAATTAAAATATGTTTATAACAAAAAAGTTATTGCAAATTCAACTCTTTTTTTAATTGTTTATAATTATTAAACAATTAAAACATTTAAAGCATATTTCATAATGAGAGTTTTTATGTAGTTACGGTCAAGTAGTTTTTTAACATTATATATGTTTATCCCATTTGAGAAAACAAAGTTCATTTTCGAATGGCTGTACAGGTGCTTTGTCAATACGTAGAATGTTTTTTTAGTCTGATTCTCTTTGTAAGGTCTCAAATTTTCATGTTTTTTAAAAACTATAATAATTTTTTAATTGTTTACATACAAATAATTGATGCAGAATGAAATACCATTACTATTATTGTCAATATTCCTAACTTCCCGCGCAGTATATATATATATATATATATATATATATATATATATATATATATATATATATATATATATATATAATATATATTATATATATATATATATATATATATATATATATATATATATATATATATATATATATATATATATATTTATATAGAAAAGAAATTTAATCTTTGCAGATAAGTTAAATAGTAAACTCTTAAATATTGGGGAAATCTGCAAAAAAAACTCTAATGTGTATCAATTATTTCACCTAACGTTTTCGCCAAAGAGAATTTGGCTTCTTCAGGGCTGAAAGAGAATAAATTATAATTAGCTACCATATATTATCTAATAAAAAAACATTTACCTTACCGTGAAATTTTAGAAATGTCAAGTTATGATGTTAAAAAACTTTAGCTAGTAACAACATAGTGGTGTTTTTTTGTTACTATGTGCAAAAAAGTTTATTTGTGAACGTTGGAAATGTATGGTAGCTTTGAACTTAAAATGCAAAGGTTTACCCAAGGACAATCGAAAAACCCAATGTAACTACATTTAAAGGAAGTAATTCTTTGAATTGTCGGCAATAACTAAATTTTTAATTGTTGTAAAGTTTGAATGTGAGCTTCTGTTTTCATAGAACGCAAGCGCCGAAACAATTACAAGTAGTTCTTTTGATATGAATGTCGTTAAGGTTCATTGGTAAAACCGATGAAGTTAGATCTCCGTCTGGGGAGATATTAGTTTAGAATTTCTAATTGAAATTCTTTTATTTTTAATTAGTAAATTGTTAATGTATTATTGTAATAATATCTTATTGAGATGTATCTAAGAAAAGCAAGGGAATGTTATCTTTTTTTGTTAATGAAAATTATTATTAAAGTAGGTTAGTTGTTAATAGATATATCAGTCAAGTTGGTTATCTGTGATGTTGTATTGTTCTTGGTATCTGATTTAAGTAAGAAGTGGTATATATCGCTTAGATTCTTAATGTCACTCTTAACATTGATGGAAAAATCGTTAAGGAAAATATAAGACATTTCAATGAACTCTCTTTTAGATTTATTGCTCTCACGGTGGAGAATTGTAGTGTTCGTATAGTCCATGTGATGACCAGTGGAATGGACATGTTTGGCTAATGCACAGTGGTCAGGGTGAAGTCGAGAATCACTTTTGTGTAGTGTAATACGTGATTTCAATAATTGAGATGTTTGGCCGATGTAGGAATTGTTGCAAGAGAGACATGGAATGTTGTAGACAATATTACTAAGCCTATCTATGGGAGTCTTATCTTTTAATAAATATAAAAGACATATAATATAATAAATATACATATAATTATTTTTATTTCTTATAAAGTACAAAGATCACACTTTAAACAAATGCGAAAAGTGCGATGAGGGACACACTTGTCGCACGATTTTTTTATAATATACTAATTTACAATATCTATAAAAACTATTGCAATATATACTATGACAGTAATATAACTGTAGACTGGTAGTATGAAAAATGAGGTAAATAAATAATAGCTAAACAAAATTAAAGTTTTTTTTATTTTAATATTGTAATATACTTACTTGAATTCGTCGTAACTTTTAGAAGTTACTACAGCTCTTAATTTGGCATCGTTTTTTAACCAATACATTTTATCGTCCTTTATGGAAGATTGCAGCTCTCTATAAATATCTGCTTGTTTAGAAGACATCATAATTTTATAAATGACTCAAGAGTTTTAAGGATTTCTAGTTTGATCAATATGTCACTGTTACTATGGTGATTTGTTTAATGTCAACGATAACTATAGTCTAGAGTCTAACCTACACTGCATAGTTACATATTCATCGTTCTATATTTGCAGCAAAGTTAAAGAACATTATAGGAAAAAGGAATATTTTTTGTGTCATTGTCATCTTTGGCTCGACAATTCTCTGTGGATCCTAGCCTGCTCCAAGATTCGTCGCCATTCTGTAGGATTTCTGGTCTCAACTCCATCTAACCGCCTAATTCGCGGGCGGCATCTGCTTCTTCTTCGTACAAGTGTTACAGTGGTTAGCGTTTTAGCGATCGTGTTGTCTCACATTCGTATTATGTGTCTAGCCCATCGGAGTCGCTGTGTTTAAATGAACGTTACAACGTTGGTTCATTAAAGAGTTGGTATAATTCGAAGTTATGCCACTGTCCTTGATCGTTCATCATTATTTGTGTTAGAATATTGCCAAATCTTTTATCCTTCGGCGCTAGAGTCCATGTTTCTGTCCCATATTTGAAGACTGGCCTCAGCAATGTTTTGTATATAATTTTATTTCGTTTTGGATGTTTCTTGAGTGGAATTGTTTTTTTAGTCCATGGTCTCTATTTGTAAGGTTTATTCGTCTTTTAATTCTCTCAAAGACTGTTGCCTTCGTTGATGGCTAGACCGACCTGCTTCCTACGCCCTATTATGTCAATGTGATCAGCGTATGCTAAGACTATATTTTTAAGTAACACATTTAATTTCTAGCTTAGTAATTTTGGCTTTAATTAATTATTAATAGATTTGTGCAAATCTGCTACAAAAAATATACAAACATTAGAAAAAATGTTAATGAGAGTACGAAGACAAAATATAGGAAAGGAAACAAATAGTTTTTAGACTTGAAAGACAGATAAATGACATCTTCGTCCCACTCAGTTGTTATAGAGCAGGATCTGCTCCATCTTCTCGGTGATTCGTTTAGATATATTTTAAACAGAACCGCAGAAAAAGAACATCTCTGCTCTCTGCTGCAATCCTTAAGTTACAAGGAATTCTTCCGTTAGGTTATTTGCTACTTTAATTTTTGATGTCGCTTGTTTATACAGTTGCTGTACTGCTGCTATAATCCAGGACTTGCCATAGTTTTTTTTAATAATTGTATATACTTTTCGAAAATTTTATTAAGAACAAGATAAAAAAACCTTCAACTTATTTTATTTCTCACAACTACTACATTTTTATAAAAACTTTAAACTACGAATAACATAAATGCAAACTCTTAAAAATATTTCAACATCTAATATTCCGAATTTTACAACAATACTGTACAACTATACGTGCTTATTGTTGTTTAAGTTTTATTTCAGACAAAGTCCGTCAAGCAAGGCAGCATCCTCATTAAAATATTTTAGTTTGAGTTACTGCATATAATTACCGAGCTTGACTTGACAGCCAAAAATATATTAACGAATACAAAAATATAATATAAATTCAATTGCTTGGTAATTTGTTTCCGTTAACATTCTTTATAGGTTTGAATCTAGTCGATGTTTTTAACTTTCGCCATTTAAATTCAAATCTCTCTGTCTATGTCTTTAAAAAATAGATGCCGTTTTCCTTTTTGATTTTTGTCCAAAGCTTCTTATGGACAACTTTTCAATGCTAGTATATTTTGGCTAATTAATAATCCCCTTTTAAAAATCTTCTATTGTTGAAAATTTGTAAGTTATCAGGACCGACTTAAATCTGAATTAAATAATTTTTATTCCGAATTAAATAAGTTATTAGTGATATTTAGCAAAATATCGTTACAATGCGGCACCCGTAGATTTGTGATAAAGACATAGAAAAAGCTTCTCTTCCGTTACCGTTGAATTGTCATACTCTAGGGCGCTACTCCCATTCAAGGGCAAGAATTAGAAAGGCGCCAAAGAACCCATCTATCATTTAATGCGAAAAAATAGTTACTATTATAGTGTTTTTTAACTTTATAGATAGAAAAGACTACTACTAAGACTATTTCGAGGGGTTCGAGCGAAAACCTGATAACTAACAAAATCATTGTTCGGAGATAATCGCGATTAAAGATTTTCGTAACATTGAAGAGGCCTTAAAATCGTCATAGGAAGTTGTTTCAAATATTTGTTAAAGCCAAATAGTAGAGAATTTAATGTTTAGTTACAATAATTTATTTTTAGTTTAACTTATTACAAGGTATTTACAAAAAAAAAATATGATATTTATCGGGTTTTTCCTTGCTGAATGAGTACAACATTTGATTTTATTGGTTTTTATTTTTAATTTTGTCAATTATAAAATAAAAATGAACTGTATTTTATTTAAATAAAACAAATAATAATCTACATTCTTTTTAGTCAATTAAAAGCTAATATCTTCTTCTTCCGATTCTTCTTTCATCATTATGTCTGGATTTCGATCTACGACATTATTTACCGTTTTTAAACTTGATATCCAAGCATGCAGCTCTTCCGAAAAAATATTTTCTTGGCACGTATTCACTAAATTCTTTTTTTTGCTTCGCTTCTTGGAAGAGTACTTTTGTATAACTTTGGTAAATTACCCGGAGTTGGTAAGTCTAGGGTTGCTTTTTGGAAAAAAAATTGTTTTTGCCTTTTAGACCGTAGAGTAGGAGTTTTTTTTAATTTAAACTAATATCTTCTGATATGTTTAAACACTTTAATTCTTCTGAGAGATCGTAGTTGAAAAAAATTTCCTTGTTTCACCTTTAATATATTTTAGTCTCTTGATTTTTAACCACTGCACAGTATTACCGTCAGAATCTATTGTTCTGTTTTGCAATATATTTTAAATCTAAAAATTTATTATATTTTATTTCTTTTACCTTGTATGGGCCTATATTATGTTTCACATTGTCTACTGTCTTCATTTTCTGTTTTATTGCTGTTTGAAATATATTTTTTCAATCATTCATGCAAGCTACATTTACATGTTTACTTGCAGATTCTATTGCCGAGTGCATAGAATCCACTTCATATAAGTATGTCCTGCTTCTAAGAACTTTTGTTCTATAATTTCCAATTGGTCGATATTTTGTACGATTTACAACAGCAGTAAGGCTATAAATTGATTACGTTTTTGACCGCCACAAGTATTTGAAAAAATTGTTACATGCTTAACCTAAGGTCTTAAGCATTCACTTAAATAGTAATACATACAAGTTTCGAGTTCAGAACTACCCTTCTTGCCATTTATTTCATTTCAGCACAAGCAATATGCGTTATTGGGTAGCGGTGATTCCCAAATAGTAAGATTGTGTACTACCAATTTTCTACGATAGTATAACTAACTAATAGATCCTTTGGGTATTTGTAAAATTGCTTGTAAATCCAATGTTACAGACAAAAATGTCTTGTCTTTATTTGCTTTGTCTTTATCTATTCTTTTAGCGGCCTGACAAATTTGTTTCTTTTTCTATGTTCTTCGTAGATTATTTCAAGATTGTTTCTCTGCCCTAGACACAGATAATACACTGGTCCTTTTTGGGCCTGAAAAAACTTAGATTCTAATCTTCACAAAAAATAGATCAATATTTACGTAAAGCAATAGGGTCTCGATTATTTTCGATGCAGTTATTTAAGTAAAGCTGGTACATTTTTTTGATATTTAGAATGGGATCTGAGTATTTTCTAATGGTATCCTTTCGGGTATAATGAGATTCCATAACCAGAAAGGATTTAATATGACTTTTAACAAATTAAACATCTTCAGCCTTTGTTTTGTTAACTAGTTCCTGTTTTCCGCGATTGTCTTCTTTAGAATAGAAACCAGTAGAATCACTGTTAGCTACAGCATTTGTTATAACATCTGGGGATATACACAGAGTTTTTGTAAAAAACTTTTGGCACACTGGAATCCATTCGTTGTTAGCTAGTGAACTAATCAGAACTACCGACCCAAAAAGGTAAATCGTTGTACTTCGTGTAACCTAAAATTGATTTACTGGGTTTTCACAGGACAAAAATGTGCTGAAATTTAATAAAATATAATAGTATAAAATTCTTTATTGGATTTTCGCATGAATATATTTTGTTAAAATTAACAGCTTTGTAATCTTCATATCCGATAAATTTATTTATATATTTTTAAAATCTTAACTTGTGAATTTCTTTAAAAAGAAATCAGTTAAGTTGTTCTAGCTTATTTTTCCTAGAACTAATTTTATATTTCAGACATTTATTATGAATTTCAATTTCCGATAAAATTAATTATCTGTTTTTAGCTCAGAAATATTTCTAATAAAATTAGTAACTTTACACGGGAAAAGAAGATAAATGATTCTACCGGATTCTCATATTATAAATATGTTTACTTCAAAGTATTTTTATTAGTAAAGTTATATATCGGGTTAGTGTTATTTAAAAATATGAGTTAACGGTTTTTACCATGTTTGGTTTTTATCAATTATTGTGCTCAAAAATGTTAATATCAATTTAAAAAAATTTTCAGTGATAGAAGACGTGTTTTTAATACAGAAGAAATAAAAATACCGTATTTCATAATTTTGTCATTTATCGGGTTTTCGCTCGAACCCCTCGATTTATCGTGTTATGTAGAAAACTGAATTGAATTGAATCGAACTTTGGATAACAAATGTAACTACAAGGGGCACAAGTAATATTTTTATTACAACGGCAGTTGTTTTATTTTAAAATTAAACTAATATTATATAAACTATCTTTAATTACAATTATTAAAGTACTTAATTAATTTAACTCAACTATCTGGGTTGAATCCGGTTAATAGCCAAACAATTCTTTAAAAAAATTTATATAATACTTACTTGAAAATATAAAAAAAATATTGTGAATGAATGAATGTTTTAAAATATTAAATGATTTGTCATGAAACAACTATAGATATTGATTTAGGTATGTGTTGGATGTCACGGTAAACTTGAGCTGCTTACAGTAAAATATAGAAACTAAATAAATATATTTATATTACGATGAAATTTATTGCATTTTGGCTTTGAGGATGAAGATTGCGGAAAGTACTCCGTCTACAAGATATACCGCTCCATTTATTATACACATCGATCCTAACGCCAAACCAACCTGAAACGAAAAATTTTATCATTAATATAATATTTTATTGATAGATTATAAAAATGAGTCCTGTATAAACTACACCAAAACTAAAAAGGGCAGAACTAAGATGAATTTGGTGGCTTTCCTTTGCGTCTCCTAAACAAGGAAGTAAATCTAGAAAAAGCAATAAAACTCTTTGTCTTCCTCTTCTTCTTCTTCGGCTTTTCCCATTATGAGTTCGCCGTTTTCGTCCTCCACAGCACTCTATTCTCCCCGAGTCCTTCTCTGAGATCTATCATAGCATTTCTGACGTATGTTTTTCATCTTGTAGCAGGTCTTCCTCTCCGTCTTCTTCCCGGTGGGTCCCAGTTTAATATTCTTTTCGGCCACCTATGGCATTCTTTGTACATGCCCGTACCACTGCAGGGCTCTGTTTTCCAACTTTTTTGTAATTGAGCATTTTACTTCCATTCTGTTCCATATTTCCTCCGCTCTTGTGATTTGTAGACATCTTCTCATAAAGTCCAGTTCAACTGTTCTTATTTTATTTCGTATTGTTATTGTCATTGCCCATACTTCCGCTCCATATAGGGTAATATTGATCACTATGCTTTGAAAAATCCTCTTTTTGTTTTCTTTGGTTAGAGTGTCGTTCCATATCACTCTACGAAGTTCTCTTGTGGCTTGTTTTCCCCGTGCTATTTGTATTTCTATATCTTTCATACAAGTACCATCTCGGCTAATCATTGACCCTAAATACTTAAAAGTCTTATAACTCTTAATAGTCTCTTCTGTCATATCAGTAGGTTATGATTACGGTCACGGGGCTCTAGGCACAATGTAGGGAGACTCGTTGTCAGTTGTCACGACTTGTCAACACGATGGTTAGACACACAGATCACGTTATTAGTGGTCTGTGGTTAGACATAGGTTTTTGGACATTGTTGATTCCTAGAGACTTTGTTAATAAGTATGTTTAAATAAAGGTATTAAACACAATGAAATATTATTACTTGGCGCAGTCTAGTGGAAATTAATCGAAAATCATGGAAGCAAGGTTACCAAATCCATTATCATTTGAAGGCAATGTGGCCGAAAATTTTAAAAGATTTAAGCAAAGTTTTGAAATATATCTGATGGCATCAGGAAAAAGTGGTAAAAGTGATGAAGTTAAAGTAGCAATTTTACTTAATTTAATTGGAGAAGAAGGCATTGAGATTTATAACAGTTTGGAATTAACAGAGGTCCAACAAGGAAAGCTAGCAGATGTATTGGAAGCATTTGAGTCTTATGTTACTCCTAGAAAAAACGTGGTTTATGAAAGATATTTGTTTTATAAGCGCAGTCAAAAAGAAGGAGAGCCTTTTGACCACTTTTTAACAGATTTAAAAAATAAAGTAAGAAATTGTGAGTTTGGTGTTGAAGCATTTTCAATGGTAAGAGATAGAATAGTATTAGGCACCAATAGTAAGGATGCACAACAAAGCATGTTAAAAACAATTAATTTAGATCTGACTAAAGCTATTGAAATATGTAAAATGCATGAAGTATCCCAAGCTCAAATAAAAGAAGTTCAGAACAGCTTAGAGAAGGTGAAAATTGAATCAATTGGAAGTAAAGTCAAGCAGGGGCATAATTCAGTCCAAACAGTCAGGGGTGCAAGTTCTTCTAGAGGTGAATTTAACTGCAGAAACTGTGGGAGTGTCCATGGACCAAGGAGGTGCCCAGCATATGGAAAAAAGTGTAGAAAGTGTGGTAAATATGGGCATTTTGATAAAGTGTGTTATCATGGTAGGTTAGTAAGAGAGGTACAAGTGGAAGAAAGTGAAAATAATGAAGTAGAGAATTTCATGATTTCATCAATCACTGTTAATGAAATTAAGAATAAAAATAATAAAGACTGGATGGAAAATTTAAAAATTAATAACATTGATATACCTTTTAAAATAGATACAGGGGCACAGGTTAACATTTTACCCAAGGTTTTTGTTGAAAAAGTTTGCAAAATGAATGAATTAAAAGAAACTAAGGTCATACTTGAGACATATGGTGGTTTTAAGATCATTCCTTTGGGTATAATAAAACTTGCCTGTAAATATAAAAATATTGATCATTTATTAGATTTTGTTGTTGTAAAGGAGAGATCAACACCTATCTTGGGTTTATGTTCTACCATAGAGCTTGATTTAATTAATAAAATTGATAACATAACACTGCATTCTAAAGAAAAATTTGTAGAAATGAATAAAGATGTTTTTTTAGGTTTAGGTAAATTTCAGAAAAAATGTAGTTTAAAGCTTAAAGAAAATGCAGTGCCAGTGGCTAGGCCACCTCGTAGAGTGCCACTTACAATCAAGCCTAAACTTAAGAATCAACTAATCGATCTTGAAAAGCGAGGAATCATAGCAAAGGTTGATGGTCCTACGCAGTGGCTTAGTAACCTGGTAATTGTTGAGAAAACTGATAAATCATTACGTATCTGCCTAGATCCTCGGGACCTGAACAAGGCATTGGAACGGGAATTTTGTATAATACCTACTGTTGATGAGATTCGTTCAATGTTACAGGGTAAGTCATTTTTTACAGTTCTAGATTTTAAGGAGGGTTTTTACCAAGTAGAACTGGATGAGCAATCCAGTAATTTATGTGCTTTTGGCACTATATTTGGCACATATAAATTTTGCCGCCTGCCATTTGGTCTTAATATAGCTCCTGAATACTTCCAGAAATTAAATTCTGAAAATTTTGCAGATATTGCAGGGTGTATAGTCTACTTCGATGATCTATTAATTTGTGGTGAGTCAATAGAAGAGCATAATAATACACTAAATAAGGTGTTAGATAGGGCTAGAGAACTAAATGTGAAATTTAACCCAAACAAAATACAATATTGTGTTGAAAGTGTTAGATACTTGGGTCATATCTTTGATAAAGATGGGATGAGAGCTGACAACAAGAAAGTAGAAGCGATAAGAAGATTGAAGGATCCGGAAAATAAAAAGGAATTACAACAAATTTTGGGTATGGTAAATTATTTAAGGGCATTCATTCCAAACTTGTCAGAGATTTCTACGCCCTTAAGAGAACTCTTAAAAAAAAGGAATGCATGGGTATGGACATATCGACATTCTGATGCACTAAATAAAATAAAAGAAGTAATTATATCAAGTAGTGTGCTTGCCAATTTCAATGAGAAGTTACCAACTGTGATACAGACTGACAGTAGTAGTAATGGCTTGGGGTGCTGTCTCTTACAGAATAACAGACCAGTAGCATTTGCCTCTAGGGCGCTAACGACAGCAGAGTCAAATATGAGTCAAATTGAAAAGGAGTTCTTGGCAATCCTATATGCATGTAATAAATTTCACAATTTTATCTACGGAAGAAAAGTGCAAATTGATTCTGACCATAAGCCTTTGGAGGCATTAATGCATAAAGGCATTGCGGACATAATGTCACCAAGATTACAAAGGATTAGGGTAAGATTATCTAAATATGACATAGAGGTAAAATTTAAGCCAGGCAAGTTCATGCATGTGGCAGATTTATTATCGAGGAATTTTATAAAAGATGAAGTGGATGATGATAAATTTATTACAGAAATAGTTCATACTATTGACATGACTGATGAGAAGAGAGAGCAATTTAGGACTGAAGTGGATGCTGATGAGGATCTGAAACTAGTAAAGAAATATTGTATACAAGGGTGGCCCAAAACCCTGTCAAGAGTAAGCGATTCAATTAGGTATTATTATTATATAAGAAATGAACTATATTTACTTGACGGACTAATATTTTACAAAGACAGAGTTGTAGTCCCAAAAATATTGAGAGAGAGCATGCTAAGATTATTGCATTCTAGTCATTTTGGCATTCAGAAAACCCAACAGAGAGCAAGACAGATATTACATTGGCCACAAATGAACAAAAGTATAGAAGACTGGGTAAGAAATTGTAGCAAGTGTGAGATATTTAAAAGTCACAATGCTAAAGAGCCACTATTACTTAGAGAGTTGCCTCAAGCACCTTTTGAAAAGGTAGCAAGTGATATATTAGATTATGGTGGACAGTCATATCTAGTTCTGATCGATTATTTTTCTAAATGGCTCGATATAGTGAAAATTAATTCAAAAACTTCTCAGGTGGTCATCAAGGAGTTAAAGAAAATTTTTTCAACACACGGAATACCTTACGAAGTCATATCAGATAACATGCCTTATAATTCGTGGCATTGTCAGCAATTTGCTAAAGACTGGGATTTTCGGTTTGTAACGTCCAGTCCCCGCTATCCACGGTCTAATGGGCAGGCAGAACGAGCCGTTCAAATTGCAAAAAACATGCTTAGAAAGTGTGACGACTTAGATATGGCACTCCTGGAATATCGCAATACTCCAATAAATGGAACAGATAAAACACCGGCCCAATTAGTAACTAACAGGGTTCTTAGATCGAAGCTACCATCAAATAAAAAGCACAAAGACATAAATCTAAAGGATGAGTGGGAGAAACTAGAGGCGAAAAGAAACGAATATAAAAATTATTATGATAGAAACACCAAGGTAAGAAGAGAAATAGTGCCAGGAGAGAATGTAGGTGTCAGAGAGGGTAGAGAATGGAGACCAGGAAAAGTTCTGGAAAAAGTGGATGAGGCACCCAGATCTTATTTAGTGCAGAAAGAAAATGGGGAAGTCATCAGGCGAAACAGTTATCACTTAAGGCCTTCCCTAGTTAAAGCGGAAATTAAGAAGAATACTGATTTTGCACATAATGATAGATCATTAAACTCCTCATCTGGGAATCAGAGTTGTGGAGTAGAGGAACCTTCAACCTCTCAAATGAATGCTGAAAATAGAACTAGCGCTAGACTCAAAAGGGCTCCGATGCGTTTTAAGGATTATCAAATGTAAGGGGAAAGATGTCATATCAGTAGGTTATGATTACGGTCACGGGGCTCTAGGCACAATGTAGGGAGACTCGTTGTCAGTTGTCACGACTTGTCAACACGATGGTTAGACATAGGTTTTTGGACATTGTTGATTCCTAGAGACTTTGTTAATAAGTATGTTTAAATAAAGGTATTAAACACAATGAAATATTATTACTTCTTCTAAACTTAAGTTCAAATCTGCAACCTCGGGTCCAATACATAAGTATTCGGTCTTGCACATATTTATCTTGAGTCCCCAAAGTTCATTTTCTTCCTTTAATTTCCTTATCATATATACCATATCCTCCCTGCCTTGTGCAAAAATGACTTGACCATCTGCGAAAAGTAGTGAATGTATTCTCTTGTACTGGTATGCCCATTGTTCCGCATTTTCTATACCATCTTTTCAAAGCCTGATCTATATATATATATATATATATATATATATATATATATATATATATATTATATATATATATATATTATATATATATATATATATATATATATATAATAAAGCTAAGGCAGAAAACTTTTTGCTACAAATAAGAAATCACATAGAAAAAAATTGAATTATGCAAAAAAATCAGCTGAAATTTTTAAAGGGAAAAAAGGTATTGATAAATGGTGATCTAACAACCAAAGAAAGAGAAATGAGAAAAGACATAACTCAAAAATGTAAAGAACTTAGGGAAAATGGTAAAAGGATAAAACTAAGTTTTAAAAAGATCATAGTAGGCAGAGAAGAATAAAGATGGTAAAAGAAAAGAATTTTTAAACATATTGGGCTGTAAAACAACGGCGAGTGGTGGAGAAGAAATAAAAGTTGGAAAAATGGAGACAATTCGTAATAAAAAACAAGGAATATGATAAAGGTAATACTGATAAAGTCCTGACTATGACAACAGACACGAATAAACTAAATGAAAGAATGAAAAGCATAAAACACAAAGAGAAACATCAAATACGAAAAAAAAAAATGAGCATGTAATTTGGAATATTGCATATTAAGAGCATGAATGGCAAAGAAATATATCTAATACAGGAATTTGAGGCAGCAGAATTAAGCAATATCAAAGACCAAGAAAAAAGGACAAGGAATAGTAGAAATGAAAAATAATCATACCTTAATATAAAGTGGCGTATCAGACGACAAAAGAAGCGGAAACGAAGATCATAACGCAAAAGCCAAATATGCATTTTGGGGGGGGGGGGAGGAGTTAACGTTTACAACAGAAGTCGCATGATAAGAAATATACATTTCAGGGGACAGAAATATTTCGTCTCTTATTTCACTATAAATAAGAGACGAAATCTACACTATATGACCAGAAATAAAAATGGAATGAGATTGCTAGAATTTTGCATATATGATAATGCACAATATGATTATAACTAATACATTTTTTAAAGACAAAGAAATCCAAATGTATACTAGAGAAGTCAAAAGTCGATTTAGGAAATCGACTAATGTCGATGCACACTAGCCCAGGGGGACCGACGGTTTACGTGCACTTCATTTCCATCATTTTTAGAAATGAAAATGTCGTTGTTAAGGCCAATATTCGAACTCGCGCGCTCTGCTTAGAAGGCCAGCATCTTTATATTTGCAGAACAGAAATATCAGGAAATACAAAAATGAAAGTTCTCAGAGCAGTTTATAGACCTGTTCTGACTTTTGACAGCGAATCATGGGTACTGACGTATCTGTACTGTACTGACGTACTGACAATCCACATTGGAGTTCCCAATGAACTCTCACACGTCTATCTGAGCTATATAAGCAATACCTCGATTCATCAGTGAACAACACGTGCTCCCATTTATCTACATTCCAGTCAAGGTGCTCTTTGGCAAATTGTAATCTACTTCTACGATGATTTACGTTTAAAGCTGGTGCTCTGACTGGCATCGTTACATGTAGATCATGTTCAGCGAGACGCCTTTATATAGTGTTTCTAATAATTTGAATATTATGAACATCTGCCATTTGTATTTGTAAATGTCTTATTGTGACAAAACGCATTCTTATAGCATGAAGCCGGATAAACTGATCTTAACGTGGTGTTGTGAGTCTTCCTCATCCTTGTCTACGCCAGCTCGTATGGTCGTTTGTTTCTCGAAAACGTTGAATGATTTCTTGAATTACGGTCCATGTCAACTAACTAACACACGCAAAACAGCAAAATTGTTTGATTTTTCATAGCCAACTAACTGCTTCCATTAATGAGTATTACCTATAATTCAATAAAATCACGTTATCCTTTGAACTTACTTTTCTTTTTTGAAAAGAAAGATATCTATGATTTTTTCGAAAATGTTGAAAAAATAAAGCTATCTCGAAATATTAATATAAGATTTAGCGTTTGATTTTAATAAATTCCACAGTGTTGCAAAATAAGATAATTAAACAACTTTATTTTTACACCCCGTATATGGGTAAAACATTGACGTTTCCGAGATAATATTAATAAAGTAATTACATAGAAGTAGATCTTCAATGCAAAAACAATCATCGAAATCTAATTAAGGATTTAAAAGAAAAATAGCTTCAAAATTATGGTAGGTACCTACAGTTGAGGTGGTACGTTAATTTTGTCGAGTAGAAAATCAGGTAATGCTTTGAACGTACTTTTCTTTTTTGATAATAAAGACACTGATAAAAGATCGAGATGATTTTTTTACGAGAATGTAAGAAAAGATGAAGCTATCTTGAACTAATACATTTCACAGGGTGTTGCAAAATTAGATGAAAAAACACAAGTTTATTTTTTATATGAATAAAACGTTGACATTTCTCAAAAAATATTAAAATAGTAGTTAATTAGAAATATATCTACAATTTGAAAAAAAATTATCGAAATCCAATTAAGTAAGGGTTCAGAAAAAATATTTTTTCAAAATCATGGTCGATTTGAGGTGGTGCCTTAATTTTGGAGGGTAGTATTTAATTTTAACCTGTAATGTTAAAGGATTCCCCACACCGACGCGAAACTTTTGCGACGCGAAACCGTTGCGGAACATTCGCAGGCGGAGCACTATTAAATTCATTTTATATAATATATAATGAAAACTTACCATTTTCTCCTAGAAATGACCCTATATTATCCCAGACTTTATCCTTTTTTCTTATATTTTTATAATCTTCGTCACTTAAATCATAAATTATAGGATATTGTTTCACAATTTCAATTAGTTTTTCTGTAACAGCCATTTTAATAATTCACGCGAAACTATAACTTGCTATAACTGCAGCGGAAAAAACCGTGCATGCAGCGTTTCATGAAACGTCAACGCTGTTCTGCCGCGACCGTTCCGGTTTCCGTCCGAACTTGTCTGAACACATGCATTAAGTATCGTCGGAGCGGGATAAGTATTTATAAAATTATACTTATCCGCTGGACGTTTTGTAGGGGCATTGTCTTGAAAACGACAATGCCAAAGGATTGTTTATGTGTAGGGAATAAAACGACCATTTCTGAGTAGAAAAAACTCAGCTTCAGAGTCTTTTAAAACCTTTGGCAGAGTCCTCCAATGAGGAGCCCTGCGGCTACTCCTTAAGAGTAAAACCACGACTGACTGTAAATCGAAAATGTCCCATATTTAAAGTATATTTAACTTTTATATGAAACTTTTACGATTTTTAACCAATAGAATTTATTAAAACTTCCAGAAGGAGGGACGATGCACGTCGATGCGCGAGATTGCGGCGCTCGGCGACATCCCCCCCGCTTTGGAGACTCTGAGGCTGATAAAAAAAACTGATTTTATTAAAAGCATTAAGAAAACAGAATTTTTTACAAGTCAAAAAATTAATTTAAAAAAATAATGCATAAAAATGGCAAAATTGAATGTTCAAATGTTATCAAAGTCATTACTTACAGTTTTCTTAACACAAAACTACACTCGCGTGGCACTACACTGCACAAAAACACTCACAGGCGGTGGTCGGTGTTGTGGCCGGCTTCTGCAGGTCCTTCCTCGGCGATGTGGTCGGTCGTCGGCCCTACGTCCTCTTCTAGCTCTGTCGGTACCATCTGCTGCCGCCGGTGAATCGTAGGCGAGTTTGCCTGAGCCTCCGTGGTGCTCCCATATAATGGTAGGGCAGGCAGTGACTGGCTACTCCGGGACGACACTTCCGCATCTGGCACAGCATCGAAGTAGGTTGGCTTCGGAGAAGGTCACACATCGACGGTTATAGGTTGCAGAAGGTTGGATATCGGCATATTAGTGTATAACATACTAATATCCGATCCTCTCCCTGCTGTTTCTTGAGTGGTTCTTGTTGCAGACCACGTGTAGGAATTTCTGCGATGTTGGAACGCTAGCATGTGAACTCTGAACACTCAGAGCGTGGTTACGTTCGAACGCGTTACGTTCGGCGACACTTATGTCGCTCGGCGACATAAGTGTCGCCGAGCGCCGCAATCTCGCGCATCGACGTGCATCGTCCCTCCTTCTGGAAGTTTTAATAAATTCTATTGGTTAAAAATCGTAAAGGTTTCATATAAAAGTTAAATATACTTTAAATATGGGACATTTTCGATTTACAGTCAGTCGTGGTTTTACTCTTACGGAGTAGCCGCAGGGCTCCTCGTTGGAGGACTCTGCAAAAAGTTTAAAAAGACTCTGAAGCTGAGTTTTTTTTCTACTTAGAAACGGTTGTTTTATTCCTACATATAAACAATCCTTTGGCATTGTCTTTTTCAAGACAATGCCCCTACAAAACGTCCAGCGGATAAGTATAATTTTATAAATACTTATCCCGCTCCGACGATATAAGTCGCAGTGCCTTACGATTCGCCGCGATTCCGCTGCGAAAGTTTCGCGTCGGTTTGGGGAAACCTTTATACTAATGCACCTGATCATTCCAAATTGGTTTTAAGGTAAACTACTACTATAAAAATAAACTTACCTGTCGTTCAGAATCTACTGTTGTGTATTTGTATTCGGACAAGTACCCAAGCCAATAATGAAGAGCTGTAGCTCCAACAGCTATCCACATGAAAATTCCAACTATATTCATCAGGATATCAGTAAATGTCCTAAAAAGTCAGCATATATTAAACAATATGTTACAATAGGTGGTACAGTAGACTAGCACGAAGCTTTAAAATGTGTTTTCTATATTTTTAAAATATAAGTTATATTTTTAAAATTGAATAAAGTTATTTTATTATTTATTTATGATTTATATTTTAAACAAATTATATTATAATTCAAATCATTCAATGAATTATTACGTTTGTTCCTAACGCCACCTGTTGACATTTAACAACGCATACGCTGTTAATATTAAATTATAATAAAATATAAATAAATATCATTTATTAGTTAATTTAATTATTAGAGAAGATAAATAATATGTTTAAAAATAATAATGGTATTTATATGAAATAATTTTAAAATGGGAAGTGTTTAAAAATTTAAACAGATGATTCAATATTGTGATTAATCGTATGACATTTATGACTTTTAAATTTTGACAATTGTTGCGAATCAAATCTTTTATTGACAAATATTCATTTAATTTATTACTTCTCATTTAATGTCTGTATTTTGTTAATTATTTTTCATGCCATTTTTAATATAAACCTGCTTAGAATAAATAGATGATGACTAAAAACGAATTGATCGAGAGTAGTGAATATATGTGAAGAACCGCTATTTTGTGACGCTACCCGTGACGACGCCATCTTGTGGCGCTAGGTCCGTGACGCTCAGCTTATTTTCCTTTAGAGAAAAAAGTAATACAACGCCAGTCTAGGAGCTTCGCTTCAAAATTGCCTCATATGTACATATATAGTGTAAAAGTTTGTAAAATGAAGTAGATGTGTAGAATAATTATTTTCTTACGTTTTGTGATCTCCACTAGCGAAGCAAAGGCTGATCAGCGAGACAAATGTATAAATCATGAATCCTACGAATACTCCGGAGGCGACGATTTCTGCATCGGGATTTTTTTCTTCGTTTAGATTCCAGGTTCCTCCTACTCCTAAAAAGTAGCCCTGATAACCGGTTCGGTACAAGATGAGACATATCAAATTGATCACCTGAAAAAATATTTAAGACATTGTATTCATAAATACGTTGTAAGATTTCTAAATAAGATTCATTGTAATATAGCATATTTTTTACAACAAAGATAACGGACCAGAACTACACTTCAACTATCTATTACTATATACACTCACACGAAAAATGGACACCCTTTCAATTTTTGATCAACTGTCAATGTAATGTAAACATAGCAAGTGAGTGGGGAGTTGGAATAAAGGGCTAAGTAGCATAGAAAAGATAATAATTATTCGAGATAATTATTATATATTCCAAATTTAATAAGGGATAATTATTACAGTAAAGTTTGCATTTTAAATCACACAAAGAAATTGACCTAGTTATTGCATTGTTTGATAATTGTTTAAACGTAGAAAAAGCACGTCAAACAGAAACTGTTATTGTAATGCAATATAGAACCCACAATTCAGCGAAAACGTAACCTTGGACTACAACCGGTCAATGAGGACACCAGTTGATAAAAAACCAAACTAAGGAGGCCAAGCAGTCAGTCATAGCGAAGCAGTCAGTAATAGAAGTCAGGAGTAGTGATACGGCGGGAGCCGTCAAGGCATCAATTGCCTGCTCCGGGTACTCTCGACGCGGTAGCGTCTGGTACGAGGCAGTCAGTAATAGCGGCAGCGGCGCACCGTGACTGCCCGCTCAGGCAGTATTGCCGGCATCGGGTAGGACGCGATAGCGTCCCGTACGAGGCAGTCGGTAATTCTCCGGGAAGCGCTTATCATCCCGGCATAGTATCTCGTGTAGTCCGGTTATTGTGGCAGCTCGTAAGTTCGTAACACAGGAGGAGACCCTCAACTGACCGAGTTCCAGAGGACCGAAACGTGTCGTGGTTGAAAGCCTAAATACACATAAGGTAACAGATTTCTATATACTAACCTGAGTTATTATAATAGTACAACTGTCAGCTCTTCACTCCCTCGCTCCTCGTCTCCCGAAGCGCAGAATGACGTGTTAACGATTGTATTTGTAACTTCAGGGTAAATTCAATATATTGTAGACTCTAAATTGGTTTTTTTAATGTTCCTTTCGTCCGACTCATTAGAGACTAGGAGAATACGAGATTCTGCTTATGCATATCTCCGGCTTCAAAAGTAAGCCCATAACCTCTGCTCTTTACAGGACCTGAGACCCAGGAGTCCTTACCCCTATCCCGTAAATCCCTTATCTTCTCGTAAATCCACGAAGACGAGCCAGCCCTCCAGACTAGTGTGACCAGTATTCCTTGAGCCGCTCGCAGGGTTAGCATCCTTTGAGGATCTATAAAGTATTACATTTGGTGACAGCGTTTTCCTTACCTTCACATAACGCCCACTTCGTATTACATTACATCAACAGTCGAAACACACTTTATTTCTTATGGTAACTTTTATCGACGGTTGGTATACTCTGATACAGGTTTTAAAATATGTTTTAGATACCAAATGCGTACTACTTTTATTTAAAGAGAACTATACAAACTTACAAATTAATAAAAAAAATAAAACAAAATACACAAAAAATACAGTCACGCACAAAACAATGCACAAATACAAATTGTAGATAGATTATTCACTACATATGGGACAGATTGGATGTTTTTTAAAGGAGGAAGAGGGACTTTCTTGTAAGTCTGTCATTTATTTTTACTACCTTGCTTGAAATGGACTCACACGAGCACTCAATTTATTATTTGTATACAAATTACTTACTAGATTTAATTAATACCTATTTTTACCTCCACGGGCCTGTTTAGCGGCATTCATTCTTCTGGGGCATACTGTTAATTAGATCTGTTATTTATTTAAAACTTTATTCTGTGAGTTTGAGTTGATTCTTCACTTTGAGTTGATCCAAGGTAAGAGGAGCAGGTACCCGGCTTCGAATACTTCTACCAAGCCTCTCTCAAACATCTTCTTCTTCTTCAAGTGCCCTGTCCGTTGCGTTTGCGGCGCTTCTGAATAGTTCGACAGATGTGAGCCCGAACCACTTCCGCAGATTTTGGAGCCACGAGTGTCTTCTCCTGCCTGGCCCTCGCTTACTGTCTATTTTTCCCTGGACAATCAATTGTTGCAGACGGTACTTATCGTGTCTCAATATGTGGCCTTGATATTCAAGCTTTCTTTGTTTAATTGTATTCACGATTTCTTTCTCCTTTCCGATTCTTTGGAGTACCTCTATGTTGGTGACATGTTCGGTCCAGGATATACGAAGAATGCGTCGGTACACCCACATTTCGAATATTTCTAGTTTTCTCCTTAGCGTCTCAGTCAGCGTCCAGGCCTCCACGCCATACAGCAAGATCGGAAAAATGTAGCATTTAACTATACGTAGGTTTAGGGGAAGAGACAAATCCTTGCTTATGAGGAGCTTTTTCATATTGCTAAATGCTGCTCTAGCTCGTTCTATTCTTGCCTTAATTTCTATGTTCTGTTCCCATTTTGCATTTACGTTGGTGCCAAGGTACACATAAGATTCTACATGGTCAATTAGTATGTTACTTATCGGTAATTTTCGAGCAGGTTGTTGCTTTTTGCTTATCAGCATCCACTTTGTCTTCTTGAAGTTGAGGCTCAGGCCGTCTCAAACATAATCGATGGAATTTAAATCGGGACTGTGCACTGTCCATGCCATATGGGTAATATTAACTTCATTTAAATATTCTCTGAAAATGCGAGTGGCATGTGGGCGTGCATTGTCATGCATCAGTGTGAAGTTTTCTCGCATATGGGACAGCATAATTTTGCAATATCTCATTTATGTACCTATCAGCGGTCAAAGATCCTCTAGGGACAACGTACAATTATGTACGCGCCTCCGAAGATATACCAGCCCACAAAATAACTGAAGCCCTTGAAAACTTACTCTAGAACTAAAAGGGCACTCAGCATATCGTTCACCATCTCTTCTCCAGACTCTTCCACGACCATCCGGGGAACGTAGACAAAATCTGAACTCACCAGTGGACATGCGGAACATTTCTCCATTCGTCTGCATTCCAATCGCGACGCTCCCTAATACAATGTAATCTGGCTACATGGTGTTTTCTAGAAAGTTTGGGTCCTGTAGTGGATGCTCGAGCATTCAGATTAGTCTTATTTAACCGTCTTCTAATGGTTCGTTTACTAACATTTATGTCTGTGACATCTTGACGGCTCTTTCTAACCTCTATAGTAGTTCAATGACGGTTTCTTACTACTGAAGACACAATAAAGCGGTCCTCCAGATGAGTAGTTTTTCTCTGGGGATCTGTTCCAGGACGTCGGTGTAAACTCCTGTTTTTAAAAAACGAGTAAAGACACCTTGCATTGTGCTGCGTAAAATGCCGTATCTGGCAGCTACGTAAACTTGACTTCTTCCGTCCTGACTAAGAGCAACAATAGATGCAACAACTTCTGCTCTCAAAGACATCTTGAAATTGTCAATAGACACAATCACGATAAAAGTAAACACTTTTCTTCAAGTTGATTTTTTCATGTAATCTTGACACTAATAACTCAGTACTAGACTGCCACTCTAAATAGTTCTTCACTACTGAATTGAAATAATTCCCTCAAGTTCTTAAGCCACGATATTCTTTGTCTTCCCACATTTCGCTTTCCTCGAATTTTTCCTTGCATAATAAGCTGCAATAATGAGTATCTTTGCCCTCTCATAACATGACCTAAGTACTCTTAGGAATTCAGTTTCCAATGATCAAAACTGATAATTGTTCAATTTTTTTGTTTTTTTTTATTAGTAGTCCAGTCAATGAGAGCAAAGATAGGATATTACCTCAGATTTCTATCCTAATTCATCGATTCTGATAAAATTTTGGGAATAGGCTCTACTTACCTCTTAATTCAAAACCTACCCTATACCGATATATTCTTATTATGTTTTTGGGGAGAAAACTATCCCTCATTGCCAAAATTAAATAAAATTAGTTGTAACGTAAATCAAAGTACTTCTTAGGCTTTAATAGCGTTTGATGAATTTAAATAAAGGTCTTTTTATACTTTAATCTTGGTTGGCTGAATAATTTAATCCTTATAAAATGTGTAAACAAGTGATTTATTAATTTTTTTAATTAATTTAATATCTAATTTAAATCAATTCTAAGCCGGTATTTTAGTTCAATGTTATTTTTCGTATTTTCAACCCATAAAAACAACTGATATCTTTATAAAATAAAAAAATACATTTAAATATATCATTTATTTATCTCTTTATTTAAATGATATTAATATTTTTTTGTCATTTACAATAAAAATATCTTTTTGTAATTTTACATTCCTTAAACTACCTCTCATGATGAAAATATGAAAGTAGAGAAAAAATGATCTTTGCAGAAAAAAATTATTAAAATTAATAAAAAAGAATTTTAATTTAAAGAAAAACAGACATCTTCTTCTTCTTCCTCAAAATTTCCCTTTTTAAGGGTCGCTGTTCCTTACTCTTCGTCGACACTCATTTCTGTGCAAGTCTTAAACCTTTCTCCCTCAAGTCCTCTGTTACGCCGTCCCTCCATCTTACCCTTCGGTTTTCCTCTATCTCCCTAGCTCTATCCTTCGTTCCACATAGCTTTCATCTCTACGTGTGACATGACCAAACCATTGCAGTCTTTGTTCATGAGTCTTTTTTGAAACTGCAGTTACCCCGGCTCATTCTCTAATCAAGTCGTTTCTGATCCTGTCCCTTCTAGTCTTACCCAATGAAAGAAAAACAGTCATGTCACTAACTCATTCTAATATACATCACTGTCGCCACTTTCATTCGTTCTTTCCTCATCTTTGTCAGAGATTGGAACAGTGTTTTGGCAGTTAACACCTGCACTTCCCCCACATGTAGCGTTACAAAAATGCACGATATCTCTGCAGGTGCATGGCGCGCTGCATCCTTTTTTATTGTTGCAAAAAATTATTTCTAGTAATTCCTGCTGCGCGGGTGATTCATGCATTTTTGTGGGCTGCAAATATTCATTAGCATTATTCCATCTCCAATCAATTAGTTTGAAAGCTTTATGGCCTAGCCAAATTTGAATTTGGCAATAAAATCTTTTAATATGCTCGTCCAAAGCATCTTATACAAGCAAGGCCAATTTTACATCAGTGCTAGAAAAGAGTAATAATTATTTAAATCTGCAAAGATAATTAAGACGTCTAAACGTTTATGGCGAAAATAATATAAGTTATTACTAGCTCTGCACAAGTAGAGGTAAAGTTCATGAGAAAATCAGATCCAATTTGATGTTTTTTCTGAAATAGACGACATTTATTTTATTAAACTGGAGCAAATTGTGTGTTCGTTGACTCCATCATTAAGTAATCGGGTAGGTTATCGTTTTTCTATTGAAGCGGACTGTTAAATTATTTAAATAAAAATGTGTTGTAATAAAGATTTCAACATTAGTAATTTTTTTATAATTAATAGTTACAAATTACTATATAGTGTTTTTCATGTTTCAATATATATTTTAACGTACTCAATGCGCTACAAAGGCAATTTTTAATGAAATTCGTGTTGTAAGAAACCCTACGGTTTTGTTAAATTATTTTCAGTTCTGAAATCACTGTTACAAGTTATCCCACAACGTAGGGTAACTTAAAACACCCTTAAATTATATATTAACAATGAAAATATCAACTTATATTATATTTCAATGTAATCTTTAGACACACAGAGAACTTCCGGAACCACAAGAATGAAAAAAAATTGAACATTCCTGATACAACAGTGTGAATTTTGAAAGTACATATTTCAAGTTACCCCATTTTACGATACCGCATTGTCTCGAGTAACTCTTGTAGCCTGTTTCATTTTTCATTTTATTTTCTTTAGTATCTTTAGCTGCTCCATATAAAATTATTTCACAGTATCTCCCAGCTTCTAGAAATTCTTCTAGTTTGTTGTTGGTACTGCACAATATCCGTGCTTGTTGTCTTAACTCTATCCTGTTTTCTACCTGATCAACGATTTTTTTTTACCTTGCCAAAAACTTACGATGTTATGTGGTAGCTAGTAAAAGCATGTAAAAATGCTACTAATTTTGCACTGTTAGAATAATTAGCTTCGAAGCTTTTTGATGAATAGAGCATTGAGGCGACGTTTTGTTTTCCCAATTTTGGAAAAAAAATTGGTTCAACTCTCACCCTTGCTGTCAAAATGATCAATACGTTCACATCTTCTGCTACAATAATCTTTCGGAACTGTGACTAATTTCGCAAGACGATTTCAACTATCACTTTATCAGCTTCGCCTCGCTCTTGGTAGAGCAGCCGATTAAAATTTGTCCCCAATTTTTGTCTTCTTATTATAAATAATGCTGCCAGAAGAAACTGATTTTCCAAGCTTGGTATCGAAACATTAGAACCTAATACACTCTAATTTGTTTCTATTTAATTTATATAAAATATTCTAGGTATATAGATCTGTTTATCGATACTACAATAAATTATCTTGAGGCATTTTTATCTTGTTTCATTTATTTACTTAGTAAATATTTTATTCACTTGCCACGAAATTGATATCAGCGTTAAACATAGCATAGATAAATATTTCTCAACCGAATTTATCTTTCACAACAGTTAAATCATGGTTTATTGCTGTAGGTAGGTCCCTACGCTTAAACAAGTTGAATTATTTTTTTAGAGACTGATTCATCCAAAAAAAGCAAATTTATACATTAAATATCTGCTATTTGTGCAATTATTTTTATGTTGTAACTATATAAATATAAAAGTTTTGAAAACAATTATCTAGTGTGGAAACCACTTATGGAATAAAATTGTTTATATGTCCTTATTTTAGAAAATTTAGAAAATTATAAAAAAATCGCTTGGATCTGTCAACTTTTAAATTCAAATGTGAGCTTATTAAACATAAATTTAAATGTGCGGGTTGATGAACTATATCATTTAAGAAAGCTTTAAAAAGTAAAAATACACAGAGTGTTTCATTAAAATAAAGACAATGGACTATGCTAAACTTGCGTGAATCACCCTATATATTTAAATTTATATTTAAAATGCGCACATTTGAATTTAAAAGTTGACGGATTCCAGCGTGTAATTTTCTAAAATAAGAACACAAACAATTGTATTTTTGTACTTTTAAACATTCAAATTGTTTGGATACAAATGAGCTAAACGCATCTTTTATCAAAAGCACTAGTGAAATAATTACCCTTTAACACATCTCATTAATAGTATTTTTTCAATCGGGATATTCCAAACTTCATTTAAATAGTCCAAGATTGTTCCTATTTTTACAAAGGTCGATCGTGATCTTGTGGACATTTATAGACCAATTTCCATCGTTTCGATATTCAGTAAAATAATCGAAAAAATTCCGAAGAATCGTTTTATATTGTACTTCGAAACAACTAACTTTTTTACTAGTTAACAATATGGGTTTAGAAAGGATCGTTCCACAACACATGCACTTTTAGATATAATATGACTCTGCCATAACGCTGTGTGATCTTTCAAAAGCCTTCGACTGTGTTACTCATGATATTTTGCTAAAAAACTGCATTTTTACGGTATAAGAGTTACTCCTTTGGAAGTAATTTCATCGTATTATCGTAACTGAAAAAGGTATTGATATAGATATGCAGATGACACCATAGTATTTGTGGACAACTTAGAAGACCTACAAGTTCTAATGAACAAAATCGCGTATTACAGTCAACAATATGGACTCAATATAAACGTTAAGAAGACAAAGCTTATGATAATTAGCAAGAAAAGAATAACAGAAGGATAACAAAAGGTCAACTCTACGTCAAACAATCCCCTGTAGAAAGAGTGACGCACTACAACTACCTCGGCACCAAATAAATGAAGAATGGACCAACAACCAGGAGATTAGAGCACGCATCGGAAAAGCTAGATCCACCTTCAATCGGATGGGGGCTGTCGAGTAAATACTTAACGTTTTTTTTTTAAATCCCCTAATAGGCGTATTCTCTCTGGCTGAGAGCTGGTGAAGGCAATTAAAATTTAATGACTTTTTCGTCTGAGAATGTAGGGAGTATCGAATATCCTATTATAAGAATATATACAATTGCGTAGATATAGTTAGGGTTAGTTAGTCGAATTTGTACCGCCGAAGCAAACTGCATTAAATAAAACTTTTAAAATAACATTTGTGTATTTTAATACAAATTGATTTTTTTTGTCATAGAAATTTAATTTTGTATTTTTTCAAACCAAGAGACCAAGAACCAATGCTGCGAAGCTACATCTTCTCTGTCCTTTTTTATGGTGTTGAATCGTGGACCTTGAACGAAGATATTTGCAGAAAACTGAAAGCATTTGATGTGGCTATATCGGAGAATGTGTAAGATCCCGTAGACTGAGCGAGTCACAAATGAGGAGGTCCTCAGAAGATTGAATAAGAACCGAGAGGTACTGACCACCATCAAATCTCAAAGGTTACAGTTCTTCGGACATATTATGCGAAATGAATCCAGATATGCTCTCCTTCAAGCCATCCTGAAAGGAAAAATATTTGGAAAACGAGGTCCAGGAAGATGAAGAACATATTGGTTAAAGAACCTGAGAATATGGTTCAATACGGTTCAATGGATGTTATTATGGCAATAAAAGATTGCCATAATGATGGCGAACATTCGTAACGGATAGGCACATCAAGTAGAAAAAGATGTTATCAAACAACTTTCTAAAATTGCCTTATTGAAAACTCTTAGGTGAGGATTTAGACAGTTTATTAACAAAAATACAAATATACAAAAGTGTTCATCAATAAACAACATTAATTATTCAGTCTTAAACAATTCTGTTAAGAAAAAGAACTTATAGCAAAGGCAAAATCGTTATTATCGTACATATTTTAAATTTTACTCTATAGAGAGCATGGAAACCAGTCAGCCAGTCATTAATAAAAAAAAGTGCTTTGAAATAAACAAAACAAGAAGTATTTATCATTAACTATACTATCCAGTACTTAAGATAAACTTAAAAGCTTCAAGAACTTTCTTATTAATTTTAAAAGCATGATCTCTCATACTTAATATGACGAAAATAATGGTACCCGCCCTAGATTGGCGAAATAGACAAAAGATCTGTTATAAAAAATGAAATGCTCATATTTATTTAACAAATTATCGTTTGTTCTACTTACCAATTTGAGCAATTTCAGGACAATGGTCCCCACAGTCTCGATACTTGTCATTTTCGTAAAAAATCGAACTTTTCGTTTTAACTAATATTAATTTTCACTACGATGGTGTATTTTCACCTGCTACGTATAAAATGAGGTGAGTCAATAGAGATAATCAGTTTATCTTTACAGATAAGATTCTGTTTTGGCTTCAATGCTCTCCAATAAAAATTCTATTTTCTCAGTACCGTTGAAGGCAATAAAAGATCATGACAAACTTGAGTAAACAATGGTATCTATTTATCATTTGTTTTTAAGAAATATTACTAAGACCTACGTACGTCTAGTAAATTTATACGAAATAATTTCCGATTTAAGAAGAGATAAGGATAGATATTTAGGTTCAGAGATCAAACCCAAGAAAAGATATCAACAGTTAATTATTAAATAAATTTGGTCAACACATTATATAAACAAATAATAAATAGATATATTAGGTATTACCCTTACTTACCTACGAAACTTAATCAGCCTGTTCTTTCTACTGGTCAAAGGTATAGTTATATTTAAAAGTAAAAAGCAAATATTCAGAGTTATTATTTTATCAGGGAACTTGTTAGGAGCCGACAAATAAAATACATACATAAAACAATAACAATATATTCAACAAAAAATTATGACGCTACTGAATGCAACACAGGTAATAAAAACACACCAACAAGTTCAAGTGACTTAGCAACTTGTTTTCGGGTTTCACACTCTTCTAATTTGGAAAACTCGGTTTGATGCAGTGCCTTTAAATGATTTCTCATAGCCGTTGTAGTTCTTCCATTTCTCGAATATTCTTTGTTACACAGCTTGTATTTAGGTCGTTCAGTATCGAAAAGTGGTGAAAAATAAGTCCATATTTCACTATAATTTGATTTACTCATAGTAATAAATCGCTAATCACATAACTACAAAATTCGCTTGTATTTGTGACGAGCAGAGCAGGGCAAGTGGAGTGACTTGTGTCCCGTGAAATTTCTATTGGAACTATAACTCTCTCTCTATAACAAGTCAAATTTGATTATAGCAAGAGAAAATAAGATCGAAAAACGTGCTTTTTACTGCCGTCTGCAATAAACTTCTTTACAATAAATACAACTGTTTCACATCTTTAGCAAATATGATAGAATGATTCTGGACAATTTGAAGCAGTTAAAAATGACAGACTTCTTCCAATTGAATATTCGCATTCGCGAATGTCGGTGGCATATAGGTATTCGCATTCGAAATGTTTAAAAAATGACATTCGTTACATCACTAAAGAAAACTACTTTGAAAAAAGTTTTGAAATTAATTAATTTTTGGTGAGTATCTACAATTTTAATATCAACTAGCTAATCTTAAATGTCATATAAATAATAATAAACTGGCTGAAAGACTTCGGTCGATGGTATTTTGGTACATAGCATCAATAAAGTAAAATTCTCTCTCTAATAATAAACCTTTTATCTGGACTGATTCATTCTTGTTTTAGGTTTAAGAAAAGCTGTCGAAATAATGTTTTAAAAGAAAAAAAAATGAAATTATATCATGGAGGCGACGATACTTGCGATCTATTAGACAATTTATGCAGGAAAACCGTACTATTTATTATTTGGATGAAACTTGGGTGAACGCTGGTCATACAGTTGACAGAGTCTGGACTGGCATGTCAATCACCAGTGCTAGACAAGCATATGTTGAAGGCCTTTCTACTGGATTGAAACATCCTTCTGGGAAAGGCAAACGACTTATTGTTTTACATATCGGATCTAAACATGGATTTGTGGAAAACGGACTGCTTTTGTTTAAATCCAAAAAAATGGCGACTACCATGAAGACATGGATTCCAACCTTTTTGAAGAGTGGCTACAAAGTGTTTTGCCAACTTTAACTAAAACGGCAGTTATTGTCCTAGATAATACGTCCTACCATAGCAGAAAATATGAAAGGATGCCAACTAGTCCTTACCAAAAAAATATTATATTTACTGATGACATGGTCAAAGCTGTGTTACTAACGCTAGTAAAAAGTCATCCCATAGAATAAAAGTACGTGGTCGATGAAATTATTAAGTCTTTACGTAGATGTGTGTTGAGATTTATCCCTTATCACTGCGAGCTAAACCCCATTGAGCTAATATGGGCACAAGTAAAGGGGGAAGTATCAAGAAAAATTACCACATATAAATTAAATGACGTAAAAGTACCTTTTACTTGACGTAGTAAGAGTACCTTTTACTTTACTTTTTTTGACGTAAAGCGAAGCACTGAATAATGATGTTACATCAGATTGCTGGAAAAATGCTATCAACCATGTAGATGGCATCATGTCCAATATGTGGGAACCAACCGAGGACACCGATAGTAATTAATTTATTAATTAAGAATAAAGGTAACCTCTTTTTGTCATGCTTTATTTACTTATTATTATTTTTTTTTATTTAAAACGCCCAATTTGAAAAACTTCAGTCGAATTCGGGTCAAGGCTGAAATCCGGGACTTTTCAATGAACATCGGGCCATTTTTTTTTAATACATTATTTGCAGCTTCAAACTGATTACTGACCTAGAATCATATTGCAAGACAGCAGATTTGATTTCGGTTCAAAGCACGTAATGGTTTGGAAATGAATCATTCGATGGGATTGATTTTAAATAACGCGAACGAAATTAAGAAGTTTGTTTACTTAAAATGGTTGACAAAACCGAAAAACAAACATTGATCAGCAATCACTACATCGTTGTATGCAGCATGCCTCGTAATACAGATGATTCATGTGTATACACGAATTGTTTTTGAATAGTCTTTTCAGAAGACGATAATTAAAACACAGAAATTTAAATTTGATGATTTTTCGGACTAGTTGGTCACACTATTCATACTACATAATCAATAATAAATTATAAATATCATACCTCCATTATTACAGTGACAAATAAAATTAAGTTTTCAATATGTACGAGTTTTACCGCATTCACTGCGATAATTGTATCTCTCTTCTTGACCTAGTGTAAATCGAACTTAAGGCGTTGGGAACTGCAAATCGTAACCAGTGCATGGCGTTCACGTGATAATTCTATCTGTTCGGCGGCCCAACTATAGTATCAGATAGCTGTTTTACAGATACACCTATAACTTCCATTAAAATCCCCCATATCTATGAAGAGGTCTAGAATAAATTATATACACTTTCCAAAGTTGCAAAAAACGTTACACAGCTAGGGTTGATTGCAAATGCATGAACTCCACACAAATTAAGAGAATAGTTTGCACAAGGCACAAACATAATCCTTGCTTGGACACCAGTATGGATGTCTGACATAGTGAATTTCATTATTATAGCCTTGACTCCTACACAATTGTAGATCCAATCCATCATTTTCCATAACATCATTGTTTATTCAATACTTGAATAAGTTTCTTATGTGACTGCAACGTGTATTACAATGCGTACTAATTTTTTATAAAAGAAAACATAAACATTAAAACTATTGTATGTTATATACCAGAGTGTAGTTTTATATGTTTAAAATGTTTTTTTTCGTTATTTCTTAATTTATAATTTTTATGCCAATTTGGAGGCCTCAATCAGAGACACGGGGCGGCCTCCCTCCACCTTCGTTACACCACTTGTAGCATTTGCAATTTCATTGATTCTTTGAAATATATTGCAATCCCTTCGTATATATAATATATTGAAATTCCCTCGTGTATGCATTATAATAACGAAGAATTTTTTTAGTTCCTATGGTGCAATTTGAAACCCAAATAATATTTCGTTCTTTTTACGTCGCCAAGTTTTTAATATAAACCATTTTATAGTTTGTTTATATTTTACAGATGTTACTTCCTCGGTATTTCTTTTAATGTTTTATTCGAACTGCTTGAATTGCGTTTTCTAATAAAGGATTTGCGTTTCAACCATCGTTTAAGTGTTTTGTTATTTTAAGTTATGGTAACGAATTTTTAAGATAATTTCGTCATTCTTACTTGGGTCGATGTAGGCTCAGGTATGGATCCAAATTCATCCATCGAATTTGTAGTTTTCTGTTTTTGGCCCCTTTTTATGGAAATATGTAGCAGTGAAAAGTAAATTGTGAATTATGTCTAGTTACAGAGGAGGTTAAAAAAGTATTTAAGAGATTTGTGTCGCCTGCAGCAATTCTGATGTTCCAGTTGAAGTGCTTCTTCAATCTCGCTGTTCCTGCTTTGTTGCTGAAGCAGCTTGTTTAGTTCCAGAATTCTAGTGTAAAATCCAGTGCAGTCCAGGTAACTTTTGTGTAAATATTTAAAGTAGACATTTTTTTAATAATATAATTGCTTTCATTAAAATTTAAAGGATTTGTAATAATTAATAAATTATAAAATTTTTGGGTTTGTCAAAAACTTTAGCTGTCAATTTGTGTTCAGTTTTTTTTTTAATTTATTGTTAACTTATGACAGCTCGTTTTATTATTTTTGATTTTAGTTTGTTTTATTTTAAAGAAGGTTAACCTCCATGCAATTTTGTAAGTTTTGTAGCAACAGAGTTTGTAACTAGACTAGAACACATGTAAGTTTTTTTGTTATTCTTGTTCTCTGTAACTATTAATCTATATGTAAATTTGTGCCATTATTTTTATAACTGTTTGTGCTAAGACACAATAAATGTTATAACATTTTGTTTATTTTTTAACTAACCCCTTTTTTGAGTTTTATTTGAAAAAGATATGTTTCTTATGTTTAATAATTATTTCCCAAGTTACAACTAGTGGTTGTAATAGGTATAATTAGGCACCTCGAAGTGGCGCCCTATATTAAATTACTAGAGGTGTTTCCTGTTTCTTTTTGCTTTGTTTGTCCCAAGAGATTCATGACCTTTTGTTTTATATTTTTGTAGTTGCCCAAATCCAACCCCTTTGTCATTTACTTATCCACGACCCCAGCTCTCCTAACAAACCCTCAGTGCCGTTCGCACAAGCAGCGTTTATTTTGCTTGCCCTATCTTTACCCCCATAATCTTACCCTGAGGTAGGCAAAATATAATCGTTACACACTGGGTAAAATTAGAGTTTTGTGCAATTTCAATAAAAAACAAACTTGCTGGAAGTGGGTATGTCATATTTATTGACAATATACAATTATAAAAGAGTAATTAACAATATATAAAATAAATTTAACTTATGGATACATAACTATACAACTTAAAAAAACCGCAAAGATAATAAAATTGAATGTACAATACAGTATTACACAACTTTAGATTCAGCATCTGCAAAATAGTCAATAAACCAAGAATTACCCGGAATTAATATTTTAATCATATTTCATATGCGGTCTCTCTTAAGTAGTGTATCATTTGGCTCTTTTCTCATTTTCCTGAGTACATAATGATGATGATCTCGAGTATTCTGATCTGGCACATACTCATTCTCTTCAGATGCCACAGAACAACTAGGTGTTGCCAGATCAATAGCAGGTTCTCGTTTAAAAATTGTTCTAAGGTCTAATAAATTATTGGAATTTGGCTCTGTCTTTAACGTCTTAATTACAAAACGGTCTCGTGCAGTCGGGTCAGAACTATCTGGCGTTGCCAGCTCAGCAGCAGCGCTAGGTTCCCGTTTAACATTGGTTCTAAGATCTAATAAATTATTGGTATTGATATAATCGCTACTACTGCTAGGTCCCGAATCTCTAGAGCAGCTCGGTAAATTGTGGAATTTATTATCACTCTCAGGTTTTTGTTCAGTGCGTTCTTTGGCTGCAGTCTTGCTGTTTCTTTTGAAACTAGATATTAATTTCTTTATACGTCGTCGTGAGTGTGGACAAGAATCGGAGGAATCAGAACTAGTTGTTACGACACTCTCAGTTGACGAAGGAACTCTTCGTTTAGGTTTCCTCTGTTTCCTCTTTCTTCTAAATCTAGAAAAACAAACATAATTAAAACAGAAAGTGGTAGCACATCACTCAATAAGTCCCGGCATTCACATAAAGATGGTGCTATTAATAATGAATTCATATGCTTTAGAATGATTGGAAGACCCCGAGATAGCATCATCACCATCCAACTGATCTACCTACAGATTGGTAATCCTGACTAGAGACATTGCAAATACTTAGAAGCATCAGAACAGGCAAGTAAATGATAACCAATCTAGAATAATAATAATAAAAAAGAACTCCTTGTAATTGTAGAGGATTGTGGTAAAAAAAACTACAAAAAAAATCGTAAGATGAACACAGCCTTAACGAACCTTACGAACTAATAAGTTTGTTTCTATAAATACTTTGGTTACTTGTACATAAACGTACTGTGATCTCTTAGTTATTCGTTAGGAAACTCTTCCACTGATTAATATGGTCTTTCAGATAGATAGAATTTTGTCATTTTCCAGAACTTAAGAAAAGAAGTTGCAGATTTAAGTTACAAAGGGAGATGGTTGTATAATTTTTTTACCGAATATAATATAGATTTCTTTAATAACTCAGTGGACGGGATCGGTAAGTACACATCAAAGGTTGAATTTCTGATGCAGTAGTCATGATTAGGTATTGCTGAAAAACATGTAGGTGTTTACAAATTAAGCAAACAGTTTCTAAAATGTATAGAAACGGAAGAATTAAGATCCTGTGAATTTTGAAGTAGCTTCTGCAATGTGTTATTCTACTGAGGTCAAAAAGATACTGTATTGCTTTTTTTGTAATTTAAAAATAATCAGATTGGGCAACTGTACTAGAACCCCAAAAAGGAAGACCATATTGAAGATGAGACTCGAACAAAGAAAAATATGTTATTTGCTAAGATGCTAAATTGATTTTCTTCGAAACAGATCTTATTGCATAGCAGGCTGAGGCTAGTTTCTTAACAAATTGATATGAAGGGACCATTTAAGGTTGCTGTCTATAAAAATACCAAAAAAAATTTACAGAATCAACGATACTGATCTAGCTGTTATTAAGAAGCAAGGGTTGAAGAGCTCCTTTATAGGATAATGCTACTCTATTATCCAAGTTAAAAGAGAGTAAATTAGAATCGTACCAGGTTTTTATTTAAAGTAGATCAGAAGATATAGTTGCATGAAAAGTTGCAACATTAGAGTTCCTTCAGGTGATACTGGTATCATCAGCAAAAAGAAAAACATTTCCATCGATTTTTAAGTTAGTGATACCATTTATAACGTTAAGGAAAAGTAGAGGATCTAATGCTGAACCTTGTGGTACTCCACATACAATGCTTTTGTGACTAGAGTCAGTATCATTTGCTTGAACTAGTTGTTTCCTATTCCTCAAGTAAGATTGGAACCAATTCAAAGAAATACCTCGAATTCCGTAGAATTTTAGTTTTTTTATCAAAATATGATTTACAGAATCAACAGTTTTGGCATAGTCACAAAAAAACAGTGGAAGTGTAAAAATTATTGTTTAGTGCTTGATAGACTTCAAGTAGTACAGAAAACATAGTACTACTGGTACATTTATTAGATAAAAAGCCGAACTGACTTTGTGATAAAATGTTGTTTTCAACGAGAATAGGGAAGGAATAATAATAGTTGTCTTTAGGCACTCTGGAAACTTTGATAAACGAAAAATTTTGATGACTACACAATGATATACAGTGTAATTATATTAATCATCAATCAACCAGCACGATGCTACAGCCAATAAAGGGCCTCAACCTTCTCAAGCATTCTACGACATTCTTCTATGTCACTTGCTAGGTTTGCCAGTTAGCAGCAATTTGGCAGTTTTCCTTTTTATCATTTTCGAATCTGGGGATCGGACTACATGTCCTGTCCACTGTAGACAGTTTCGCTTGATTATGGTGGTAATATATTTTCCTCCAAACTTTTATGCTTGTAGATATTCTGTTTTCTTTAGTTTCTTCTTCTTCTTTTGTATTCTTCTTTAGTTAGGGGTCCTCGTGCCTCTAAGCCATATGTGAGAAAGAGGACTATCAATGTTCTGTACAGTCTTATAAGAGTTTTTTGAGACAAAAGTGTGTTAGCAAAATACTTTGATAGACAACGAGAACACCTATTAGTAATTATGATCCGCCTTTTAATATACTATATAAATGTGGTAACAGTTTGTGCTCCAGATAGAGGTAAAAAGGAAAAAAATAATAGATATATAGAAATCACTGCAAAAAACTCACAAATTAAGAAAGTTCTCTTTCGTCCAAACAAGGCCCAGTGTCACAACATTAATCGTAACGAAGATTAAATTATATCAATATACGAATATGAACAGCCTACCTAAGCTCTGACGTCACAATGGGCGGGGTATTTTAAAAACCTGTCAAAAATTTCTAATTTGTGTGTATTTGTCCCATAAGAAGTTAGAAATATTGGTCTTTTATTTGTTTGAAGCATAAATAAGGACTTTTGGTTATGAAAGGATTTTAAAATCCCCGCTCATTGTAACGTCAGACTTATGTAGTTCATTGCATTTTGAGTTGCTTCTGCACCTTCCTGACAACAACTATTTGCACACTAAAAAAGGGTTCCCAGGAGAAAGAGAGAATCAAATGGGGTAAATGCTGAAAATTAAACATATTTTAAGGCAAAACACAATAATTTTTTCTGCAATATCGTCTTCGAATTGTTATATAAGCGTTTAAATTAGTGTATTAATATAGAAAATGTTACTGTTAAAAAATTCGAATAGTGCTTAAATGTTTTTATTGTTTTATCAGTTATAATTCGGGACGTATTTAGTGAAGTTTTGTAACAACTGAAAATATAAAATGTACATACCTTTCAACTGATCTCCTAACACTACTATCACTTGAAGAGCTAGAACTTGAAGAGCGATATCTTCGGAAACGTTTTCTGTATCTGAAATAAATGGAAAAGTTGTTACTTTGGTAAAATTCTTCATTAAATAAAAACACGTAAAATAAAGAAATAATAAATTTTCACTTTCAGATCATTTGTATCCTATAACATAAATTAAAAGTGACGTCCGTCGCCTATCAGAGAAAAAATCAAATCTCACAAAGTATATAGCCGATTTCACCCAAAGTTATATTTGATATACAGGTTGAATTCAAGCAGAATCTGATATGAAATAAATATGGACCCCAGGATATACTTATAGTAAAAGTATAATACAATTAATTATAACGTAACACAGAAAGAGTCCCACCAGAGCTCAACCCTTTTGATACCGTAGGTAAGGGATGAGTGAATTATTCTAATAATTACGGATGAAGTTAATATTAATTAATATTAATTAATAATACGGTAAAAAGATAAAGGAGACCCGTTGTCTACATTGCTATTCAATATAGTTCTAGAAAAAATTGTATTTTTGACTTAGTACAATTTCATATTTTTCCTCTATTTTTCAGGTAGTTATCGACTTAAAAGAATGTTGGTAAGATATTTATTTCCGATTTAATAACTTGGAAGAATTTGCATTATCTGGTTATTTCTTACAGGATTTTTCTTAAACGAACTTAGAATAGTTTTCTTATTTGATTTATTTGGTATTTTCAGGGAATTTTAACATAATTTCGTAAATTATTGTTATTTTATTTTCTCTTTCAGATTCTCTAGTTCCTGAACGGAACTTAGAAGAATTTTATATTTTTATAATGTTTCTCTTTATCGACTTCGAAATATTTTCAGACGAAAAATGACTTGGAATAATTTTACTAACATTGTATTTCTCTTTGGTGGCTCTTTAGGGAAATATTTTCCGTTATAAAATAACTTAATATATTTTCCTAATATTTATTTACCTTTTTGGACTTTGAAATATTTTTGATATAAAAATAACTTGTGATATTTTTCTACACTTTTAGGTCCCATCGACATCGATAGTCGAAATAACTTGCTTTTTGTGTCGATATTTCGTTACATGTGTTTGTTGATTCGTCCCGAAGTCCCCACGTCGAACATTCTATCACATTTTGGACGAAATCGACTTAGTAGAAATTTCATCTTTTTTCGAAATTTTTGGAACTTTTTTTTCATTTTTACTTTTTTGCTTAGTTAGTCTTAGGTGTGATAACTAATAACTTTCTCTTACAGATTCTTAGTTTTCATCCCAGAAAAACAAGTTATGACCTCCAGCAAGATTTAGAAAAGACTGGAATAAAAATTTGTAACGAGTCCGTTACTTAAATACCCATTTACTGCTTTGTCACTGGAATCCTTTAATTTAATTACAAATTAAATTCATTTCGAAATATTCTTAAACCAAACATTTAAATAACTTCGGTAAATTTTATTTTTAAAAGTTGGCATTAAATCCCGCCCTCTGTCTAAGACTCTGAAAATACATTGTCGTGACCGCCGAAGTGCCATGAGACCGGCACTTGCTTGGAATTCCTTGAGTTGAACAGACGTATTCAGGCGACTGAGAGAGTCCCTCGTTTAAGAGTTTGGTTTAAGTTTTATTTTATTTCGAAGAAGCTGTTATTTTGTGGAAGAAAACCCAGTTGCTTATTTTATTTTGTTTTTGTTTTGGAGAAAATACATTAAGTTGGGATCACTCTCAGTCGGTAAGTTAAATTACAAATAAATTATATGTAAAAACACGTCCTATCATCCGCCATTGTTGGTGAAATTTAAATCTATTTATAATCCTCTCTCAAAATATAGTCTGATCCACCTATCTATCTATCTGCTATCTTCTATGTACTATTTCATTCATTTCATAAATACCTAAACAGATTACAAGTAATAAATTTTTATAATAACATCAAATTTTATTTCTTTACGAGGATGAAAGCCAACAATTATCTATTTCAATTCCATACCGTTTAAACCGGCTAATATTTCCTTGTTTTTGTCCCATTCTATGATGTATATAGCTTCCGTAAAAATCATCTATTTAATTTATCCGTTCAAACATTGTCAAATCTAAATTCCAAGGTTATTTTTTTTTCAGAAACCATAGTTTTTGCGTCAATTTAAAAGCAACTTTGACCTTTCTTGGTTCTTTTTTACTTTCTTGTACAAACAAAGGATTTTTAGTAACACAACTGTGTTTTTTAGCCTACGTCCGGAATCCAGTGCAGGTCTAGGGGGAAGGAAAAACTTTTTATTTAATTTTTGGGAATTGGAAGATAAGCAGTCATTTTTATTTAATTGGGTTAAGAAGAATTGTAAGGACTTAATTTAAAAGTACCTTTTTTTATATGGTGTCCAGGTTTGGCGTATCACCCACCTGCGACTAGTTCTTCCAGAGGATCTCGAGGGAAACCTGCAGAAACTAACAGGAAGAACTAATATTTTTTTGTCGATTTAAATATTTGTAGCAACTTTTTAACGTCCTCTTCAAGGTTTAACTTTTATTTCATTTTCAATTTTTTTTTCAAAATATATACTTAATAATAATTACATTCATTTTTATAAAATAATAGTCATTGTAAATTTAGTAAAACATTTATTGTCCACCAAGGGTTGAGGTTGTAACTCCCCTGGACTCTCTCGTTATCAGGTTATAGTGTGCACACATATCCGGAGAGGTTTATTTCATTTATTTGATAATTGTAACGTTTATATTATTATATATTTCTTTTTATATTATATACTTAACTATTGCATAACCTTAGTCAAAATTTCACATTATCAGGTACATTAGGGGGGGAAATTATTTCATCATTATATTCAGGGTTTTCATTGTAAATATAGATTAGTTAATTGTATATAAGAGGTGTTGGGTTATATTGTTATAGATAAGGGTTTAAAATAATTTGTACATAATATAGGTATTTATTAAAGTTGGGTTAAAACAATTTAAGATTTCACTTGGTACCTATCCTTTAATATTTCAGCAATACAAGATATCTTGGAAGAAAACATTCAACTTCCTGGCGCCCAAACATTCAGTAGAGCAACTTTATCTTTCTTCTGTTTATTTCTTGGTAGTTTCTAGTCATTAATTCTTACATTTTACGGTCTCTGTAGGGCATGCAAATTGGCCGAATCCCTCTTTGATTGTCAAGTGGTCATTCTCCTGCATAGTCGCTAGCCAGCATTAATTTTATTATATTTTAAAGTTCATATTTACCCTTTATTTATTTCTTTCATATAATTTATTTCTATCTAATCCCTTCCATCTTCTGTTATTCCAGATATTAGTTCGTTGGTGTATCAAGGTACATTTTAGAGTTTACCCTATTGCTACACTACACATTCTTGTTATATTGGCGCTCCAGCCAATCCATTTTGTTACATTGGCGTTCCCAACGTGGTGCCTTTTCTCAGTTCAGACCGTACATTCTGAAGTATATTTCTATTTGCAAAATATTCTTTATTATTTCTAATTTGTTCCTGTTGCTCTTTGTTCATTTTTTTTAACTTCTTTATTTATTTATTGTTTTTCTTATTAGATTTACATTTATAGATATACTTGTATTGCTGTAGTTTACTTATATTCATATTTAAACCCTCACCTTTTAATCTCATTGTGCACAGTTAACTATCTATCTTACTATTATTGAACTTTAAGAATTTAATAATTTAGATATTACTATTTTTTTATACATATATATATTAGCCAATATTGGTGAATTTTTTATATTCAAGTATTTGTTAACCATATACTTGTTGAAACCATTGTGTGTTGCTTCAAGGATTGTGTTTATATTTACTTAACTTACTTAACCATTTTGAAATTTTTGTGAATAACTTGAAATTATTTTTGGATTGATTTTGTGGTGTGTTGGTACATATTTACTTATATATTTTTTTTTGAAAACTTTATATTACTATTCGATTGTTTTTGTGGAGTGTGAGTATATTATCTCCTTGTCTATTCTACCTATTCATCTATTTGTTTTTCTTTCACAATGTCTGCATTCAAGGTAGAACATTTATTAGTTAAAGAATTAGATTATGAGTTGAGAATTAGGGACATCCCATTGATGCGTCTTCCAATGTGGATTTAAAACGCAAGATATTGCGTGGAGCTCTAAGGCAAGAAGAAGGAAATAGGAGCTTTCGACAAATTTCTGCCACTAGTATTCCCTTTTTGGAACAACAAGAAGAGATTGATGAGACTATGGATGATTTGGCTAAAAGGATATCCGATTTTAGAGGGACTGTCCAAGATAGCCTATACTCCAGGCTGATATCACGTCTAGCTCATGTCTCAGGCCGTATTCATTTATTGTCTTGTTCGAATGAGGAGCAGCAAACTTACAAACGCTCTATTTCAATCCGAATTCTTAGCCTAGAGGGTGAACTTGATTCACGAGTGAATCCAATTGCTACATCAACTCCTATTTCTTCTGTCCAAGCAGCTAACTCATTTCTACACCCCAAACCCGTTCAGGTTCATAAATGGGGGATTACATTTTCTGGTGAAGGTCATTATGACCAAGTAATTTCTTTTTTGGATAGGGTGGAATGTCTTCGCATATCAAGAGGAGTGAGTGAAGATGACCTTTTTGCAGCTTCTGCTGAGTTGTTTACAGGCACAGCTTTTACGTGGTTTATGAATAACCGCACTAACTTTTCTAATTGGTCTGATTTGGCTCAGAAACTTAAATCTGATTTTCTTCCATATTCATTTCAAGATGACCTTCTAGACCAAATCAAAAATCGTAAACAGAAGCCAAACGAGTCTGTTACGATGTTTATAAATAACATTTTGGGTATGTGTAGTCGCCTTGAAACACCTCTGACAGATTTTGCAAAAATTAAGATCATCCTCAAATGTCTACTGCCATTTTATCATCAGCAATTAGCTTTAGTAGACATCACCAGTATAGCAGACATAACCGAGAAGTGTAAACGTTTGGAGGAAACTTTATCTTGGTCTTCTCAACCTCCAACCACTTCTAAACACTCTTCTGACTCTTTCGGTCATCAAAATTCTT